ATGAATAAGGTTTATAAGGCTAAGCGGCACGCTCTTTCTTTGCTAACAACTGACATCAGTTTGCAATTCAAAAGATTGTATGACTATTGTGCCACTGTGGAGAAATATAATCCAAGGAGTACTATGGTGCTAAAGGTGAGAGGTCTCTAACTCCACCCAAATTCCAAAGAATGTACATGTGTCTTGCTGCAAATAAGGAGGCTTGGTTGGCTGGGTGCTGGCCTATTATAGGACTAGATGGAAGCTTCTTGAAAGGTGTATATGGGAAACAATTATTAACCACAGTTGGCAGGGATGGAAATGATAACATGTATCCAATTGTATTTGCATTTGTTGAAGTCGAGAAGTTCGATAGCTGGGATTGGTTCTTGAATTTGTTGTTGAGAGACATTGGTTCAGCAGACCAACACGAGTGAGTATTTGTTTCTAATAGACAAAAAGGTCTCATTGACGCAATCAAAGAAAATGCACCACATTGTGAACATAGGTTGGTACATTATATTTATGCTTTAATTTAATAGTTTTAAATCTTAATGTGATTTACTTATTGTGCATTACAATATTTATTGCAAACCTTAATGTGATTTTCAAGTATCACTTTTGAACATCATAACCTATAAAAACAAAAAGAAAAAATAATCTTACATGACAGGTTCATCCTGGAGTTGTGGACAGTTCCAGTTAAAATCTAGGTACGCTTTACCATATAAAGGAGATAAAGGACAACTGTATATATCTGTTACTCCAAGTAGCAAAAGATGGTACTATAGGTGATGTATATATAAAATTATAAGCATCTCAAATCAGTTACATATTTTTCAAGCTCCTGGATCTTTTTTGAAGCTCAAGTCTAAGTTGATTATTCTCTTCAACCTGTAAACAGAAAATACAAGAATGATTAACTTCTCTAGTTATGACAAATTTCTTTAATCAGAGGGAAGAGAAAGAATAATTCACTGAATTGCCAAAATTATTTGTCTGAATCCATAAATGGAGATCAAAGACTGAAAAACATAGAGTGTGACTATTATTTTCCATACGCTAATGACGTGGAAGAAATTCATGCCAGTCCAAAATTTGGAGATTGGTATGAAAAAAAATGACATACCACAAGGCAGTGAGTTCATGTACATTAGGTACAAAAAAATGTATTGTTACAACTATCTTAATTTACACTTCTTTGATGTATTAGGTATTATGTGAAGCACATGTACAACAATTTCAAAGTTAAATTTGGAAGCTTGGGGCTCAAGAAACATTTTTGGAAAGCTGCATCAACATTTAGTGTGAAGACACATCAAAGAGTCATGAAAGAAATAGAGAGATTATCTCCTAAGACAGGTCATGAAGATACAGCTTTTGAGTGGCTTTCTAAAGTACCAACCCAACATTGGGCAAGGTGCTTTTTCAAAACACAAGCTAAATGTGACGTGATGGTCAACAATATTTCAGAATCGTTCAGCAATTATGTCTTGCCCGCTAGAGATATCCCTATAATAGACATGTTTGAGTGGATTAGAAGGAAACTAATGACAAGGATTCAAGTAAAGAAATTCGGTATGGAGAGATATGCAGGAAATGTGTGCCCCAACATCGTAAAGAAGACAGATTTACAAAGAAAGCGAAGTAGGCAATGTTATCCTTCTTGGGCCAGGAATGAAACATATGAGGTACAATATAATATGGACAATCACATCGTTCATCTTAAAGACCAGTTTTGTACATGTGGATTTTTTTAGTCGTGTGGGTACCGGCCCCTTGCTACCACACTTTGGATTGCATTTCCTACCATAGACTCAATGTTGAAGATTATATACATGAGTACTTTAAAAAAGAACTGTACTTAAAAGTGTATCAACACATGATAAATCCAGTTCCTGGTATGCATGACTTCGAAGTCACCGGTAAGGGTGAGGTTGGGGCCCCATATATTAAACCGATAAGAGGCAGGCCAAAAAAAGAAACGAAGAGCTGATGGCAATGATACAAATCATTCCAAATACTCTAGAAGGGGGCTAACATACACATGTAAGATTTGTGGTACTCTTGGGCACAATAAGCGAACGTGCCCCCAAAAATCTTCACGCGGATCAAGAGAACGTGGTGAAAATGAACCTACAGAGCAACCTGCAGCTTCTGTTGCAGATCACAGTCCAGAGCAACTCGATCAAGACATGCTTGTTTCAACGATGACACATTTTGACATTGATAGCTTTCAAAATGCTTCATATTGGGTATGGTCCTCACTTGTTTTTTATTTAACTTTTTCATACAATTTTATTCAACTTACATTAATTCCCATGTTAAATTTTTGTTTGGGCACACAGGATATTCTAGGACCAATAATGCAGCCTGCAGATGCATCTAACTGCATCCACTCATCCCATAAAGCTAGCCAAAAAGCTTCAAGTACAAACAAATAGGTTTGCATGTGTGACCAATTTAGTATGGTAGTAATATACTATCCTCCGTTTCTTTTTAATCACAACATGTTGAATTTTACACTATTCACATGCTCTACTTTGACCATATTTTACGTTATTATTTTATAAAAATTATATTTATAAAAAAATATTTTTCAATTCAACTCATTACAAATATTCAAAATCTGATTTTTAATTTTTTTTTACTAATAGAGATTAAGATATAATTGCGGTCAAAGACATGCGTTGACAAGTGTGAAATGTTGACCGTTGCAACTAAAAAAGAACGGAGGAAGTATTTAAGACAACAATTATTCATTCTGGAAAGGATGAATTTTTTTGCTTTTGATTTTTATTTTGCTTTTCAAAAAAATTTGGCAATGCAAACCACTTGTGCTTATGTTGTTCTTTTGGTGAAGTGTAATATTCCTCCTTGCTTTGTTCTGGTACTCTACCCTGTTAAGTTGTGTTTTTCCAGCACTATGTTGTTTCTGTATGGTATTGAGTTGGTAGCTTTTTGTGTGTAGCTAGGTGGTATAACTTGGTGATTTTTAAATGTTAAGGTTGTTGTTTTTAATAGCAATTGCTTGTTCAGCCGGCAATTATGTATTACGGGAGGAGTAATTTTGCTTAATTTTGCTATTTGAAAACGCATGAAACTGCAAATTTGCTATTTATATTTTCATTTGTGCGTATTGTGCCAACAATTATTGGAAGAAGTCCATGGATGATGGATCACTCCCATTCAATGTTTGGAAATTAGAATTACATGCTTTAAAAAAAGTTGATGATGCTATGTAGTATGTGGCATCACTTTAGCATCTTACGGAGTAATTAATTAAATGTGGAAAAAGTTAATTTTTAGCTTCTTTTTAAAAAATAGATTGTAAAAGAAGTGAAAAATCTGGTAATTAATTTTTAGCTTCTACCCATATCACAGAGGAAAAACTAATACAGAGTAATTAAATGTAGTATAAATAATTGTTCAAGTCTACACACTAGACATACAGAAACGAGATGCCAAACAAATCTCAAAAAATCAGCTTGAGAAATTATTAGAAAAGGAGGTGATGAATATAGGGTAAATTGGACATTTTGCTAGTTAAAAATGTAAAAAAGGGAATCCAAAAATGCAGTAATCGCGCGTGTAGCACAATCATGTCAACTTCACCGTTGTCATGGGTAATAGGCTTAGAGCCCGTTTGGTAGCACCAAAATCGACTGTTTTGGCTGATTCTGCCGAAATTTATGATATTCTAGCTGGAGTGTCTGTTTTGGCTGATTCTGCTGATTTAAGAAAAAAATATTTTAAAAATATATTTTAAAAATATATTTTATTAGTAAATTAAAGAAAAAATTATATGTAAAAATAGCTAAAATGGTCCTCTACAGTAACTTCAGCCAATACAGCCAGAAAAGTAACTACAACCTTACTTTTTCGGCTTATTACACAATTAAGCGCGCGAAAGTAAAAGTTACGTGTTTGGTGAAAAAGCTGGCTGATAAGCCTGATAAGCCGAAAACAGAGTTCTCCAAACGGGCTCTTAGTTTATTAAAACACACAGGGGTTGTGTGCATTTTTTATAATAGAAGGGGGTAACTTGCAGAATTTAAATATCACAAAGGAATTCTACACATTAAACCACATTTTCTTAATACAATTAATTACCAAATTTGCTTTTCTCATAAATTCTTTATATGAATTGACATAATTAACTTCACCGTATCATTTTAGCTCTAGCATTTATATGGTCATAGGATCCATTAAAGTATTAACATATTTATTTCCTACCATTTACTTAATACAATTAATTACAAAATTTGTTTTTCTCATTGATTCTGTATTTTGCCATTATTTTGGGCGGGAATTTTTCCTCCAATTCTTGCTCCAACTCTTTTACTGTATACTCGGTATTATTTAGAGATAAAGATAAAGATAAAGATTATATAAAGATCATATGGAGACTTTGTTACTTTATTGTCTGCATTTATATAAAGATTATTTCTTTATAGAATTGAATAGTTGTATGCTTTTTCTTTCATATTCCACAAGCCCCGTTCACTTTTATCAATAGCCCCGTCCCCAAAAAAATACGGAGAAATCTCCTTGTTGCAAAGCGTCCCCAAAATCAGGAGTCCGTTTGGTGATTCTACTTTTCGACTAATCAAGCTTATTAGACAACTTTTTAATAAAAAACATAATTTTTTATTCCGCGCAGCGTATTGTGTAATAATAAGAAATAGTAAGGATGAAGTTACTTTTCTGGCTGTATTGACTGAAGTTGTTGTATATGACGATTTAAACTATTTTTCATAGGGAGTATATATTTTTCTTTATTTTATTAATAAAATCTATTTTTTCATAATTAAGCAGAATCAACCAATTCAGTCACTTCAGCCAGAACTTCATAAATTTAATCAATCAGATAATTTCAATGCCACCAAATGGGCTCTAGTTTTTTAACAGGTGATAAACAATTCTAGGCAAGCTTCCAATTTTGGGCCGGCCCAGTACAGATGCACCCAGCTATGCACACAGTGCCCAAAATTTAGGAAGGCCCCAAAAAATAGTAGTAGTAGTACTCAGCCCAGGTCTGAAGCTTTGAAAAAAATAGTCCGAAGAGAACCTGCAAGTGCGGAAGACCGAAGACGCCGACGCCCGCCGACTACCACCACCGCACCACGCCCTGCCTCCAGCCTCCAGGACGACGACCGCACTACCCGTACGCACGACGCCCTCACGCAATCACGCCCTACCAGTCGGGGCTGTTCAGAAGTCCACTGTCCACGCTAGGCCTCTGCCCGCAGTAACCGGTACGCAACCAAGCACTATGATTTTCTGATTTCTTTGAATTGCAAATTAGTGAAATTAGTGTGTTGCCTACTTGCGATGTTGTTATTTGATTATTTATTGCACTTATTACTTACTCCGTATTAAGTAATTGAATGGAGAATAAGTGTGCTCAACAATTATTCACTTAGGGTTTAAGAAATTGGCATAAGTATGTTATTAAGTACTAAGTATGTTGGAACTTGGGAAAAGCTCATTTTTTATTGCATAGGGTCCCCATTTTTCAGGACCTTCCCTGAAGATAGTTATTGGTCCTTGCAGTGAAGGACATCATCGCATTTGCTACTGATTTGGTAGCGAGTAAACCTAAGGTGTTAGCGTAGAAATGAGCAACTCAGCAGCTGGACCCTCTTCAAAAGCCAAAGTTGGAGCGTCTCAACCATCAGAAGTTTCATTTAAACGTAAACGTGGAATGTTTAATAAGGAATGTAAGTTACCTTTCCCTCCTCTGAAAAAAATTCTGTCAGAATTTTTAATTATCTGTGTTGCAAAAACTTACTCTTCTATTTCGTTGGTGGTGTGCAGTGCGGCTTATGATGTATGGATTTGGAGATGCCCCAAATGTATGTATTTTTATTTTTCCCTACCAGTCAGTTCCCTTTGTGTATGTATGCTGGAATTTTGTTAGGCACTGTTTGTTTATTTGATATTTTGATAATGCTGCTATGATGTGATCAACAACGACAAAAACTATAACAGCCATGTCTTTATCCCGAAAGAGTTTTGAGGTCAGCTAACATAAATAGAAATATGACATTGAAGTTAGAAACAATAAATAGAGGAAAAAGGGAGACGAACAAAAACAGATCAATCCTCCATGTGATCTTATGTCATAAATCCTCTTTTAAGTGTTGCTACTCTCATTTGGCTTGTCTTATTTATTAACAAGTGCTGCTTCATTTCAGCCACTTCCAGAGAGTGTAGCACTTGTAGAAGACATTGTTGTGGAATATGTCACAGATATGGTGAGTGGAAACTTTCTGGATCTGCTATTTTTCATTTGGAATCTTTTAAATTCCTTTTGTTTGAATTGTTCTTTTTTGAAGAAAAAGTTGCATTTTTAATTGGAAGCATTTATTTTATAATGGCTCTAGGTACACAAAGCTCAAGATCTTGCCTCCAAAAGAGGGAGGCGGTTAACAGAAGATTTTCTGTTTTTAATTCGAAAGGTAGATCATTTAAGGCTTTTGCTACGCAAGTTACTTTTTAACTTTTAACATTAGGTTAGTTCATCTGGTGCATTCTATTTCTTATAACCTTTTGAGTGTATGTTGCCTAACTACCTAACTGATTTATTTGAATTTTTTGCAAATACATGTTATTAACCGGGTTAGTTTAACCAGTGGCGGACCCAGAAAAACAGAGTCACGAGGTCCCTATCTAAATGTATTTCTAATTAATATAAAATTAAACAAATAACATTAAACAAATAACATGATAAACAAATAAGATTGTAGAAAAATGTAGCATCGATCTTAAAAGGAACATAACATGGTAAACAAAATGTAACATCTGAAAACCCTGTTCCCAAAACACGATCACCGTCAACTTCCCACTCATTCTTAAACAAAATGCGGCATTTTTTGGCAATAGTGTATTTGAACCATTAAGGCTATGTTTGGCGTAAGTCCCTGACTTCTAGCTTTTGTACTGTTCAAAAAGTTCCCAAAAGCTTCTAGTTGTGTGTTTGGCATGACAATATTTAAGAGCTTTTCAAAAATTAAAAGATCTTTTTTGAGATGCTACCGGGAGTAGCATTTAAGAAAAGCTAGTGACTTTTAGTATTAATTAATCCTAACAGCTTGTATACCAAACCGAATTAAATCAAACAGTCAGCTTTTTATCAAACAGCTACCACCTTTTCTTTTTAAGATCTTTTCAGTCACTAAAAGCTAACAGCTATTAAAAAGCTCACAAAAGTATCTTTTCAGCTAGTTGTGCCAAACATGCCCTAAGGCTAATCAAACCAACTTGAAACAAATCTACATCTTTTACCGCCAATTACCTTAAAAGGGAAATCATGATTCCGAGGGTGAAACGACCCTTTTTGAAAGTAACTGCGACGCACCTCGTCTTGAACATTAGGATGAAAATGAACATTTTTTCTCTCAATCTAAAATCAACTTCTAAATATTCAAAATCAACATGTTGTTTATGTAAATTATAAGCCAAATTAGTTTCACTTTCATCAATTACTTGATCCAATTCTTCTTTTACTAATGACGAATCATTTGAATTTGACATCTTAACTACTCCTGATACTCCGAATTTCTTTAAATCTGGGTACACTATTGAAATATCTTTTCATCCTAAATCGTAAAATATTGAAAAAATATTCATAAATACACAAATTTAATAGGACTAAAACATGGATAAAATTCATAATATGGGGAAAATCAGAGCCTGTTTACTAACAGAGATATTTTCCCGTTTTCTACTTCTGTTTTTCATTCTCCGGTTTTCTGTTTTTATTTTTCAATTTTTCTATATCCAATTTTCTGTTTCTATTTTTTAGTTTTCCATTTTCAAATCTGAAAACATGTTCATCAATTTTTTCACCCAGTTCTGTGATCATCCAAAAGACTGAGGACACGTTTACTTCACGGGTTACTAAATGGTACTTATTAAGACCCGCGTTAATAAGCGGCGCATAAAATAAGCAATGTGTTAAGATCATGTTTACTTCAAAAAGTTTAAAACACTGTTTAACATTAAAATGTCCAAAATAACTCTATACATATATAGACATACAAACATTCATAAACACAAATGTATAATAATATAATATGTGGGGTCGATCACCTTGTACGTGTACCCATACCCCGCCCCTATACCTTGTACCCCCACCCTACACCCTATACCCAATTCCACACCCTTGACCCCTACCCTTACCACGATCTTACACTATACCCATACTCCCTTACAAGTTACAACTCTTCATACCCACCCATTACCTACTCGTAGGGGTCGGGGGGTGGGGTAAGGGTTATGGTCGGGGGTGGGGTGGTAAGGTCTAGGGGTAGGGGGTTGGGTGGGGGTAGGGGGTGGGTTAGGGGTAAGGGTGGGGGCAGTGGGTGTTGGGGTAAGGTAGGGTGGGGCCGAGGTAAGGGAATGGTAGGGTGGGGGCTAGGATGGCTGTGGGGTGGAGGTACGAGGGTGGGGATAGGTTGGCGATAGGGTGGGGCCGAGGTAGGGGGCATGTGATAAGGGGTAAGGTAGGGGTAAGGGTAATATACGAGGGGTGGGGGTAGGGTAGGGTGGGTCGGAGTGGGGTCAAGGTGGTAGGGGGTGGTGGTAGGGTAGGGTGGATCGGGGTGGGGTTGGGTCATTGTAGGGAAAAGGGGTATGCGGGGTGGGGGTGGGTAGAGTAGGGGTAAGGGGTAAGGTACGAGAATGGAGGTGCCGTAATGGAATCGACATCGGAGCGGGACCGGACCCACCACTAGGTGTAAGTATGCAAATTCATTGCAGCGGCACTGTAGCATCTGCATTTTCCAAATTTTGAAAACTAGTAAAAGTCACTTCTCCAAATCATCAAGGAAAAGAGAGACATGTCTCAATTTTTTCGTTTTGGAAAACGATTTGGTAAACTCGTTTTTCTGTTTTCTTTTCTCCAGTTTTCCAGCAATTTTCTTTGGTAAACACGTTTCCTATTTTCTGTTTTCCAGAAAACTGGAAAATATCTCTGTTAGTAAACAGGCCCTCAATGTTTTATTCCCAAAATAGTACTCATTCACTCCTATTTTGGGAAGTTTTAGTCAAGTTTTTCTTTTGATAGGACTAAATAAATCTCATTTGGGGATTAAAACATATTTCGTCCTATTTTTGAATTTTGTATATGTTTTAGTCGTATATTGAGCAAATTCTATTTAATAATTTAATTTTAACATCCAAATAAATTTTAATAATTAATCCCAAAAAAATGATTTATGCAAAGGTTAAAATTCAATAAAAGTAAAAAATGAACAAAGAAATAAGGCAGTGGATTGATTGGGAATTCCCTTCCATTGGGTGGTTCAATTCAATACGGATGGTGCAAAATATAAATTTAAATGAATTATGCAAAAAGACAAAAAAGGTGCAAAGTTTAAATCTAAATGAATTATGCAAAAAGACAAAAAGAGAGAGAAGCCTTGCAGGGAATCGAACCATGCACCTCCGTGGAAGGAGACAGATTAATCGGGTGCAGCTCCTCTCCAGTACAGAGAATTCCAGTTGATGTATTAGAGAGCTGCCACATACCCACTTACTTGATCAAAGGTTTAGATATGTATTGGTACTGTATTTATATCTCTCTTTGACTTTTACAAAGTACTCATTTGGCTTCTAGGAAGTACGGAGTACTTAAAGTTACTTATTTTGATTTCTTTCTTCTCTATTCCACTTCTCTATTCCACTTGTCATCAATTTTAGATGATTCATGGATTGATTTTGAATGGTTTATAAACTGGACTTTTGAATTGAAGGTTAAAAAAACTGCTTAATTTGAAGGTTCAAAAACTTCTTAAATTTTTTATTTAATAAGTTAAGCAAAACAATAAAAATAGTTTACATATGAAGCAAAGTAATATTCGAGAAACAAACATTAAAAATACAAGCAACAGTCTAAATACTGCAGTTTGAATGACAAATCATCAAAGTCCCAAACTCTTATCCACAATGTAAATTAACAAATACAACAAAAGCTTCAATATTCATTTTAATAAGTCTGCAATCTACTAGTAAAAAAACATGTGCAAACTACTTTCCACAATGTAAATTAACAAAGAACAATACCACCAGTACGTATTGCAACACCCCAATTAGCAAAAACAAACCAAATATTTCACAAACGACTACTTTCTATCCTGAAAATATCCATCAAGTGAGCTCTTAAGTAATCTGCATTTTATAAAAAACAATTACTTCCTGCTCCAAAATTACAATGTACACTTCCATTTGGATCTTGGTTAGCATTAATGACTTGAGTTTCACCCGCAAAGTCCTCTCTGGTAGCAATGAAATCACCGAATGAATAGGTCATGGGAATATATGCGGAAGGTTGGTGCATATTAGGTAAAACTGAATTTGAAACCAACTGTTGGATTCCTCCGGTTGTGGGTGCAATTGGTTCCTACAAAAAAACAAGAAATTACATACTTTGACAAAAATTGATCTTAAATAAGTCCCCAAACAATAATAAAAACAGTATTTTACCAAATTGGTTGATCTTTTTTTCTTTTTCTGCACTTCATTTGTGTTTCTCTTTCTTGCTAATATTTCCACCCAAGATTTAGGCCGCTTATTTCCCTTATTAGAAGAATCTTGTTTCTTTATGCCTTTGGGACCATCAACATCAATAATGTTCACATTGGTGTCAATGTTTCTGGATCCAATCAATATAGCAACGTCACACGCACCACTTGATTCTTCTTGGACAGACATTTTTGCCAACATCTCTTCAATAATTCTGCTAGACTCTTCACACACTTTAGACATAAAAGTGTTAGCTTCAAGAGATTCAGATGCCCTATTTGTTAATTTTACCATTCGAGGACATAGTTCATTATATCTCTTCATGAAGTGAGCTTTAACGTCCAACTCAATATGCTTCCCATTAATATCACAGTTGCTTCCCAACCTTGCTTCCTTCGTCCACTGCTTAAGTATGTAATGTTGAGGAATAGCTTTAATATTCATGAAATCCAAAAGTTTCAAAGCATGACTGCATAAAATACCATGTGTCTCATATTTACGACATTCACATGCAATTGCTTGCTCTGTGAAACTCCACATCACTAATCGGTCTTTGGTGCCATCATAATCTGTGACAACAAATAAGTTGTCTTTCATTTGTCTAATACAAGTGCCTTGAAATTCCTCATACTCTTCTTAGAACTCTTCAAATATTGGAGGTGTGTGTATACCCCCAACCTGTAAAAGCATTGGAGCCTTCTTCATTTTATATCTGGGCAGCTTGTGTATGGACTCATATTCAGCTTCTGCCTCATTCTGCCGTTTATCATTGACTACCCTTTCAAAGTGTGTGAAGAAACGAACTATATTTAAATCACTCTTCAAGTGATTTTTCAAGTCAGCATTCAAGCTCTCACTTAATTGAGTTGATCTCATACCTGCGGTGAAAGTTTTGCGAACATATGCCCAAGCCCATTTTTCCTTCACCAAAAAAATTGTATGGAGCCATGAGTCAACTACAAACATCATTATCAACAAGTAGGGCAGTCCACGCATCCTCCAATACACTTTATGTCTCATGCAAATCAATGCATGCTTCAAAATCAGTGCAAAAATGCTTACTATTTTGGTATAGGTGGTTCACATGCTTAAGTGCATTCTGCCTAATATGCCAAGTGCATAATGCATGAAATGTTTCCGGCATCACAATCGAAATTGCTCTAGCCATTGCAGCATCTTGGTCAGTGAATATCGTTTTTGGTTTTTTTCCACTCATCGCTTTAAAAACGTCTCGAATAGCCATTGGAATGAAGGAATAGTTTCATCATATAGCAATGTTGCACCAAAAATGACAGTTTTTCTATGATTATTGAGTCCCACAAATACTCCTAATGGACGATAATCCTTGTTTGTCTTATGTGTCGTGTCAAATGAGACCACATCGCCAAAATATCCATAATCATTTATCATTTGGGCATCTGTCCAAAAAATATTAGTTATCTGGTCTTCAATGTCCATTTGAAAGTCATAGAAGAATGAAGGATTTTCACTCTTGCTTTTGAAGTACATCATCAATGCGCCAAGTTCGCCATACTCCAAAGCCCGTTTTGTTTCTGTTCGAAGGCAATTTCTATGGTCTTTCCTTGTATAACCAATACTCTCTATTCCACCTGCTTGTCGTGACACATATGTATGAAAATCTCTCAGCTTTAATTCAGACGCATCAGCTGATACAATTTGTGATGCTTGTGCCTCAGACACGTGACGATGAGACCGAATCATGTGAACATAATCAAGAGGTTGAAGAGTGTGATTATGTTCATCTACAAAGTCACTAACCTTGTACTTTTCTATCTTACGATCAAATGAAATTACCATCCGTGCTTGGCATATGGTTCTAGTTTCTGCTCTCGGATTTTTTATCAAGTTGTTTCGTTTGTCTGTAGCTCGCATGCCCTCTTTGTAGCACGAGAATCTCCTTGAGGTTAATATTCCTTCTTTTTTGCTTCTGTTGCCATATTCTCGACGAATGCCGAATCCGTATCTCCTACTATATGCATTATAAAACTCATATGCTTCTACTTCAGATTTAAACTCCATATTCAAATGTGGCATGTGTCTACTCTCAAGAACATCATGTGTGCTATTGGTATTAATATTATTAACCCAGTCCTCTACTTCCACAATTGGAATTGATGAAGCATCCATGAAGCCATGAAGGAGAGTACAAGTTCTGTAAATACAAAAAGCATTAAACTACCAATATCAAACATTATAATTTCCAGTAAAAAATACTAATACCGAAGTAAAGTTTCTGAATTTTTTTACAATAAAAACTTCTTCTTCTACAATTTTCAATAACATAAATATATGGACCGTCCAATTTGTCAATAGCAGAGACAACCCAAATATAAAACATGGTAAAAACGAAGAAGAAGAATGTTGTATTATGAATTTATGTAAACTATATTTAACATGTATAACCCCGATATTCTATCCGACGAAATAAAAAATGGATTTTCCAGAATGTTGAGATACCTTCAGTTATGGAGAAAAGCAATACAGCGCCCTTTCAATGTTGAATCAGAAAGAGATTACGTTTTCAGGTTGTAGAGATGAAGGAATTCTTTCTCGATCATCTGCTAGTGAAAAATGAGCGAAGAATCAGAAGACAAATCTGCACTCGCTAGTAGAGACGGTAAAAAACGGGTAGGGTTACGGAGAAGAGTAATGAAGATGCTGTAGCAAATAAAAATGTACTCCGTATAAGGGAAAGGATTGGCAAAAATGAAATCTAGACCTTTAATTTTATAAGTGGCCAAGTGGCAGCTCCCTAATACATCAACCGGAATTCTCCAGTACCGTATGTACTGGAGAGGAGCTGCACCCGGATCAATCTCTCACAGTCACCCATTCCACTGCTGAAGTCATTTAGTTCATTGGGCACTATTGTTATGTATTGTTTTGGAAGTCCATGGGTCCCGCGACCTCATGGGACCCTTAGTGGGTCCGCCATTAAGTTTAACCCATCTTGATGTGGGTAGTGTAAGTGATTGATGTATCTTCAATGTAAAAGAAGTATGGAGTAATAGGCAGTTGATTGAGTGGAGACATGTGAGCTATGGATTACTGACATATGAGCTATGAAGTAATAATGCTTTTTTCCTGTGTATTACTGTACTTATTAGAGCTTTTAAATAAATTGGACACATTTTGAAGTTTTAAGCGCAGTTGGCTCTTCCAGACCTAGCAATAATCACCGAACTTCAATATTAATGTGTAATAAACTTAAACAGGCTTTAACCTGCCGAACCATTGAGCAATAATGGGACCAAAAAGTAACCTGATACTAAAATGGGGAATAAAGAACAGCAGTTTGCCCTTGTGGTTCCTTGTTTTCCCACTTCCCCTATGTTTTAGTACAATCAGTCAACAGGAGACTACACCTTTGTTCCATATTTCTGCATTTATTTATAGATTGATTTGGAGAATCAAACTATAAAAGGAAAATTCAACACAATTTGAGGGGTTTTGCCATATTATTTTATCATTGTGCAGGACTTGCCAAAACTTAACCGATGCACAGAGCTATTGTCGATGAATAAAGAGATCGAACAAGCCAAGAAGGCCTTTGATGATGATGCAGAGAAGCTGGCCACACTTGAATAAATATGTCCATCTTCTCCTGATGATGTAATATATGTTTGTATACTTCTAATGGGATCTGTAATGTTCTGAATCCCCACATTCCATCTCTGTGCTACTCATTAGAAACATACATAAAAATATCGATGCCCAATGTATACCGACTTCTTACTTGTTAGTAAACTTGTAGAGATGTAATGGTACACTTACATAATCAGAAAATTGGTACGGTCCTTTCCGAATATCATAAAATAAATGTAGGAAATCCTTTGATGCCAACATTCAACCACTTTCAACCGTATACTAGTATCCTCGGATGCAACCATCATCACCTCGGATGCCACAAAGATCCCTCCGACGGTAAGTTAAGAGGGTTGGATGTTCGTAGCCATAAACTTGTACTACAACATGGAGGGAATGTTTTCGGATGATCCGTAGTGAAAATTGCGTTCAAGAATAATTGCATGGACTACTGGTGTTTCATAACAAAAAAGCGCGGTTAGTTTAGTGAGTTATTTTGCTTTATTTAATCATATTCTCAAGTCAAAAATAGTGAGTCCTTGATTCCATTATAAATGATGGAAAATATCCTTGGATGCAACATGTTGACATAACACAAATAGATAAAATCAAAATGACTGTTAAAGTCTCTATTTATCCAACAATGAGATAAAAAGAAAATTATCTCTAAATAGATAGATATTAGTGATCATGTTAGGTAGTGTTGGACCCGGCTCGGGCACTGAACCGGTGGGGGTAGCGGGTCTGGGCTCGGGTGTTGGTTTTGGTGGCCGGGCCCGGTCCCGGGCCTAACGGTCTTATTTAAAAAAAAAATCTTTTATTTTTAAAAACCCTTTTTGGCTCAACAGCCACTTCCCAAACGGCTATATAGCCGTTGGGTGGGTACCGGGGGGGGGTCCGGGGCCTTTGGGGGGGTGGGGGTTAAAAAAAACCTATAAATACTCCTAATTTTAAACCTATAAATACTAGTATCCTCGGATGCAACCATCATCACCTCGGATGCCACAAAGATCCCTCTGACGGTAAGTTAAGAGGGTTGGATGTTCGTAGCCATAAACTTGTACTACAACATGGAGAGAATGTTTTCGGATGATCCGTAGTGAAAATTGCGTCCAAGAATAATTGCATGGACTACCTGTGTTTCATAACAATAAAGCGCAGTCAGTTTTGTGAGTTATTTTGCTTTATTTAATCATATTCTCAAGTAAAAAATAGTGAGTCCTTGATTCCATGGAAAATATCCTTGGATGCAATATGTTGACATAACACAAAGAGATAAAATCAAAATAACTGTTAAAGTCCCTATTAGTGATCATGTTAGGACTACTATCATGATAGTAATAGTTAAATTTATATTCACATGTAGATGCATGAGTTTAGATGAATTATCAATGTAACAAAGTAAAACATTATGCAATTTTGATTTTCATAGTTAAATGTATTAAGCTTTGGCCATTGATATATTTATACAATGTGATTCAACACAATACAATATATACATAATATTGTATATATAATATTATATATACAATATTATTTATGCACATGTGTATATATGTGTGTCTATCGCAGTAATATCAGTGACTACGATTGGTTCAATTCTACAATATGGTAATATTTTTTCCTTAAATTATCATACTTCTCTTAAAACTTAGTCAGGTTTACCGGCACATAAATTAATAAAGTAAAAACTGCGTGATTGAGATTTGTGCAAAGGAGAGAGAATTATCTAAAAGGGTAAAGTGACAAAGTTATTGAGACAACTAAAAAAGTAAAGTTTGCAAAGTTTTAAAGAACGAATGAATTAGAATTTTAGTAATGTAGTATTTTAGTGATGTAGTATTTTAGTAGTTTGTAATATTTAAGGGAAAATTTCATATATTAACGGATTAAGTGATTTTTTCAATATATCTGACTTGAAACGAATTATTCTACAGTTTTTTCATGATTCATTTATCTTCCAGAACACTTTATCTAAACTCACTAAAAATTAGATATTGAGACATCCACTTCGAAAGAATCAACCCAAATCATTGATCACCATGACCCCAAACGTACAATATAGAGTTTAGACTCTTAAGGTCAACATATTTTTTCTCACTTTTGATTCATGAATTATTATTTTATTGACACTGTTGATATTCGATTTTGATTTTTTCACTTGTGAACCTTCAACTATTGTGTTAAAAATGCCTTTGGTACACGTGTTTGAAATTTTACATACTTACTCCTACTTTCATTAGTATTTTAATTGTAAAACAAATCTCGCAAAATTACATTTTTTATCGTCAAATTTATTTGATTCATGATTCTCTTTTTCCGTTCCTGAAATGATAATCACATTAAAACTATATATTACTACATTTTTTAAGGGCAAGAAAACAAACTAGAATTCAAGCAAGTGACCAACGGACATGTCTAAGAGCCCGTTTAGTAGCACGAAAATCGGCTGTTTTGGTTGATTCTGTTGAAATTTATGAAGTTCTGGCTGAAGTGGCTGCTTTGGTTGTTTCTGCTGATTTAAGTAAAAATTATTTTTAAAATATATTTTATTAATAAAATAAAGAAAAAATTATATGTAAAAATAGCTAAAATGGTAATCTACGGTAACTTCAGCCAATACAGCCAGAAAAGTAACTCTAACCTTACTTTTTCTGCTTATTACACAATTCAGCGCGCGAAAGTAAAAGTTACGTATTTGGTGAAAAAGTTAGCTGATAAGCCTGATAAGCCAAAAAAGATGTTACCAAACGGCCTCTAAGTGTCTAACCACACAATTGACATCTCGAGCCTAAAGCTGCCCAACATTTCTATCCACACAAGTGATACAACTATATTCACCTACTGGAGTATACTATGGGTCTGTTTGCAACTGCTTTTAAAAAAGTACTTCTCAGTTTTTGACTTTAAAAAAGCACATATTTTCCCAAACACTACAACTTTTATTTTTCTCGGCTTCCGCGTCAAAAGTGCTTTTACTTTTTCTATTACACAAAAAACACTTATTTTACCAAACACTACCCACTTTTACTTTTCAAAATCATTTTTTTTCACACTATCAACTTTTATTTAATCACTTCTTCTCATTTCATTAAAAAAGACAATTTTTTAAAAGTAGAAGCTGTCGTAAACAGACCCTACTTATGTCTAGCATTTTGGGGTACCATTTCTCTTTCTCGCCATATCTAAAACTAGTATGTGTACCCGTGCAACGCACGGTAAGAGTTATCGTGATTTAATTTATCTTATCAAGAAAATAAAAATGAAAAGCGAAATTAAAAAAAAGACAGGAAAAAACACAAAATCAATAAACGGCACAATTTCATGTCATATACTACCTTCGTCCTGGAAAGAAGTTCCAACTTTCCTTTTATGGATGTCCCAAAAAGAAGTTCTCATTTCTATAAAAGGAAACCACTTTTATCTCAAAAGTCACAACTACCCTTAGTTTTTACCCACTTTTTACTCACTTTTTACTTGATTTGACATAAAGTAAGGGTAAACTTGGAAAGTCAAAACAAAACTCTACCTTACCTAAATATGTGTGTAGGTCAAACCGAGAACTTCATTTCGGAATGGAGGGAGTATTTTAGTTTGTGTTACCATGGTCTAAGTTACAGGGGCGTAGGTTAAATCAACAGGTTAAATCAGTTGTACATAATAGTGTCCACAAAATAAAGGGGCCCCAATTTTTTAAAAATTTATTAGTACGAAGTATTATATAATGGTATTATATAATAATAATAATAATAATAATAATAATAATTTTTTTAATAATAATAATAATAGAGATCAGTAAAATACACTTAGTACGGAAGCATAATGCAAATCCACCAGTATTTATTTGTCGGTCTTTTTAGTCATCTTTTATTCAAATTTTTCATCTCTGACTCATATATTCACTTTAAGTTCTTTTAGTCTCGTCCCGAATTAAATTTAAAAAACCAAACCAAAATAAACATACATGAGAAGATCAAAATCAAACTGGTTGGCCAAGCCCGACTTACAAAGATTGCGCTGTTTAGAAAATTTTAGTCCAAATAAAACATTCTTAGCACGGTTCTTAACATTTAGTACTAAAAAGATTAGTTATATATTTACCGTTTTTAAATTATGCATTTGTTTAATTACATTTTTGTCCATATATTTTTTGTTATAATTATCTCAGGAAAATCTCTAAATTACACACACATAACAAATACTACGTATATTGGAATACATAAGAGTGGAGTTTTGGAAGTTGAATGATTTCTCCTTTATGGTGTTGACATGTGTCATTTTTTTCTTGTAAATGATGTTACCACATGTCAAATTGTCAAGATTTCATTCAAAGAGTTCTTCAAGGGTCTGCTTTATTACGGAGTATATTATATAGATATAGAGCCCGTTTGGTAGCACGAAAATTGGCTGATTTCGCTAATTCTGCTGAAATTTATGAAATTCTGGCTGAAGTGACTGCATTGGCCGATTCTGCTTATTCAAAAAAAATTATTTTTAAAATATATTTTATTAATAAAAATAAAGAAAAATAATACTACCTCTGCCCCAAATTGATTTGCAAATTTAACTTTTCTTGGTCAAACAGTTTTGTTTTGTTCGCTTAATTAAGATGTCATTTTTTAATTATATTCTAATTTGATGTTAATAACTTTGAAGAGATTTGAATGTAGTTTATGAATATGTAAATTTTAATTATTAAAAACTGAGTTAATTATCCGTAAAGAGGGATGACTTTGACTATTAGTTGACCAAAAAATGTTGACTTTGCAAAACAAATTGGGACGGAGGGAGTATGTAAAATGGCTAAAAACAAATTGGGACGGAGGGAGTAACAACCAAGACCAAATTCGATAAATTTATTAGGTACATCCGTACATAACTACATCTACATGTGAGTAAAATTATAGAACTAGTAGCAGATGCAATCGAAAGGTACAAGCTTAAAACTGTAAATCTCTATTACTTTTAGAAGTTTGAAAATAGATCTGAGATTGTAGAAATCTTGGTGAAACTTTTTTAACGAGGGATAGATGCCCAATAACGAGGAGTGTTATTTGATACTTAAAACAGATGTTGGTGAAGGACTTTTAGGAGACAATATTGTTACCTATTGGAAATTTGTATGAGAAATACTTACTTTTGAGATTCATATTAGGGGAGGACAAGGTCCGATCTCGGGAATGGTCGATTTTTGAATTAAGATTTTAGGCCGGGATCGAGACCATACCGGTGAAAAAGAGGCCTTAGGCCTTACTTTT